AAAGGGGGAGAAGAGACACACGGCACCCCCAACACAGTCTTGCTGCTGTGATCTATCCCCAGACTTTGGCCAGCCCTGGATCATAGGCATATGTGTATCCCACATACTCTAGGAGGTGTCTGGCCCCGTAATACCTACATTTACTACACTCAGACATCTGAGAAGGAGCAGATGCACCAACCATGACCGCTTCTGTTTCCTCTTAATTCTTTAAGTGCAAAATATTCAATATGCCTGCCTCAGTGCTTAAGTAATACTACCCAACAAATGGCCTAATCTCTGAGAGCTGTTTGGATAAATAACCCAACGTACATCAGTTTCTGTCCCCAATGAGTTCTGGCTATAATCTTTCAGTCTCCAAGACACTTGAAGAGGGTCTGTTTTCTTGCCATTGGAAGTGTCTGCCACAGGAAGGGCACACAGAAGGTAGAAGCTACTAGTCTACCGTTTTCCAGCTTCAGATCCTGGTTTAGGGATCTAGACAAAAGGAATTCTATAGGTTGCCTGAAATCTGCTACATGCACTGTGGAGCATAATATAAATAAAACTGTATCCTTGATAATCCCTGATCTTTCTCCGATGAACTGCCATCACAGACAATACAGTACTTCAATATCTACTGAGTTAACTTTTTTGGAGAGGTTTTTTGTTTTTTTTTTTTTTTTGCTATAGGGCGTGTGCACTCCCCAGAAAGACAGACAGACAGATAGAAACCAAGAAATCACCTCCCGGGGAGATGGCCATGCTGCAATCCCTTCTCCTCCATTCTCCTCTAGGGACTCTGGGCACTCATGCACACGTGCCCAGCGGGAGTTTAAGCTGCTGAGTTCGAGACTCTAATCGTGGTCGACTACATGGGAGTTCAGCGACATAGCCATTAGGCTAACTGCTGGTCCCACCTTTTTATTTTTTAAAGAGAGATTTTGTTGTTGTTGTTGCTGTTGTTGTTATAGGGCGCATGTACTCCCTGGTGAGACAGAAACTGAGAAATTACCCCCCGGGGGGTATGGCCATGTTGCACTCCCTTCTCCTCAATTCTCCTCCCGGGATATTGGGCCCACGCGTGCGCGCGCGCACACACACATACACACCTGCCATGAGTTTTAAGCCTCCAGGTCCGGGACTCAAATCAGGATGGACTATGTGGGAGTCCAGTGATGTAATCATTACATCATCTGCTGGCCCCATCCTTTAATGGTTTTATACATGAGCGAGTTGTTTCTGCAATTAGATTATAAACTCACTGAAGGCAAGGATCAGGCTTCAAATAAAGGGTAAATATCTGAAGGTCATTATATTTATCCCAAATCTCTCCCGGTGCTGTGCATACAGCAAATTAGGCAGTAACTGTAACTGCCTAATCACACATGGCAGGTTTTCCGGCCTGTAGACATAGTATGCAGGAACAAAAAACTCCAGGTGCATGAACCAGTTGTCTCTGGGGTTTTCAGCAGGACTCCCCTAATAACGCAGCAAGCCGACTTTTGCTGGCCTATTACCACCACCCTGGTCTTAGAGGCAATCACTCAGCCTATTTCCCAACCAGTAAGGACACCTCTGTCCAGCAACAGTTACTGGGTGAGTTCACACAGGAACGGATCTCTAAGCTACTCCCAACCCTTCACAGCCCAACTTCCCTTCCACATATGGTCTTCCCAGGGACCTTAGAACCAGCGCAAAATCATACAGCTGTATCCCCGCTGTACCCCAGCCGTGTTTCCCTGGCCAGTGCCCTTCCTGTGGCACACACTCTCAATTGCAAGAAAACAGACCCTCTTCAGGTGTCTTGGAGACTGAAAATCCCCAAAATCCCAAGTGGTGATTCCCCAAATGCAGACTGTAAATACTAACTTAACTGGAGGGAGTAGAGAGGAGGAAGAGGATGGATGGGGATGAAAGGAGGGATGGGCACACAGGTGAGCGACCTTACTGTCTTTCCTTCTTTCAAAATTAAACCGCATAGTGTCAGGAACAAGTTCCCCTCCATAAAGCCCCGACTGGGGACCAGGGCACCCTTGGCTACACCTGGAGTGCCAGTAGATGGAGAAAGCTGTTGGGTTCCGCGCACACACCCTGTGCTTACCAGGGTCACCGCTTTGGGAGTCGGGCCTTTAATCTCCCTCTGAACGGTGCCAAACCGCTGGCTGTACATTTTCCAGTCCCGTCGGGGTAAGGGCGACGTCCACAGTAATACCCCAACCACAGCGACCTACGAGACCCACTTCCGCGACACGGAGGTCCCGTTGCCATGGTGCGCTTCACGGGGTCAGAGGCAGGTAGGAGCGGGAGGGGCGGGCGGAAGTTGGTCCTGTCGCCATGGGGGCCATAGACGCCAGCACTTGCGACTTCCTCTTGCAGCGGAGGAGCTGAGCCTGCGCGGTCCCCGCCCCTGGTTTGATCTCTGCAGACCTAGCTCCCTTCCCTTAGGCTTTATCAGAATGGCATTAAAACAAAAAACCCTCTTCAACTCGAAGAGATATCGAAGATTTAATTCCAGTTCCAATTGACCTTGGTATTTATATCCTATCATCAGTCTAAAAGCATGAGAAAGGTTAGTGGACATTTTGTGGAAAAGCTGAATTTTCTAGGTTAAATCTTGACAATAATCGTTACAGGACAACCTAGGAATTGTGTAGTTCTTTACAATTTGCAAGATATTTTCACACATACAACCTTTGAGCCTCACAAATACCTTATAGGATTGTTGGCACAAGTTATCCTCGGATCCAGAGAGCCAAAGTGCCTTGTCAAACCACCTAATCAGATAAAATAAATCTGCTATTTTTTTTTCCCTGTTGGACTGGGCAGAAACCAGGGCTTAGACTCAGGATACCCTGGAATGGGGCAACTCAAATGTGCCGATAGGGCAGTGGCATGACCTGCCTGAGCTCAATAAAGACCAGCTCACAGTGGACCAGGACCAGGACATGGATCCAAAGTCCAGTGAGTCCATTAGGCAGGAGAACAGGCAACGCAGACCAGGGAATCTAGAACAAACCCTCTGCACTGGTAGAAACCACAGTTTATTTCCAGTCAAGAGTGATATGGTGGATAGTACCCAAAAGAATGACACTTCCGTACTCTTACTCTAAAGTGGGGGCGAACGTAGAACACAGAGCACAGGTTTAAAAAGTCAGTCCCTAAGACAGTTACCGACATATAACAATACCCAAAATACAACTAATGTGTATACCCTTAGGGCTGCAATTTACTGTAAATTTGCATTCCTTAATTATTTGCAATCCACCCACCACTTCAGATTTTCTGTATTGTACGTTTCTAGATTTGGATTCCATATCCTGAATTGCTGGTTCAGCTTTTCAGTCACAAAATAATGTCTCTTTCTTCTTTTAATAATGTCTTTTAATAATTCTCTCATTTTCTTTTTTTTTTTTTCTCTCTCTCCTATAATGCTTCTTCTTTCAATTGCTGTTCGGTAAATAACTCATTTTCATTTACTGCTAAGTTTACGTAGCCTGAAACAAACAAAAAAGAAAGAAATTAGGTGGTCCGCTTGGTCCCCTGGAAGGTGTCCTGAGAAGCGGTTCCTTGATTTTTCCAGTCTCACTGGCTCTTCGCCCGTCATTCTGGGCGGAACCCCTACCTCCCACCCACAACCTTGGCAAAGAAAGGAGACGATTTAAGTGCTCTTGGCCTGGAACAAGGTTTGGGGAAAGCCGCGGGGATTTG